TTCATGGACACGCTGTCTGGGGGGAGGCTGGAGGAGCAGCCAGCAGCTCGCCGCCGTGTGGGAAGAGGAGCAGGTGTGCCACGGCCCGGGTGCCTTCCCTCCCAGCGCCTGGTCTCCTGGCCACTGCCATTTCCAGGGCTTTGCCAGGACTCACTTCTCTCCAGCCAGGGCTTCCAACAACCCAACCTGAGGCCCTTGGGCTGCAGGGCCAGACTATTCAGACCCCTCCCCTCCCCTCCCCTCAGTGACACCAGGAGGTGGGCTGTGACTCTCCCAGCTCCCTGGCCCTCTAGGGGGAGACCTCCGGACCCCCGCAACAGGGCTGAGCTCTGCTCACTCGTGATGGAGCAAGCTGGATCCAACCGCTTTACTCTTTCTCGTTCCCCTCAAACGCTACGCCGCGGGCTGCCTCCGTTTCCCGGGACCACCTCCCAAACCACCACCTGCACCAAAGCTGTGCCTGAGGGACCCAAAGCGAGGAGCTGCATCACTGAGTCTGCGTCTACCCCACGGGCAGCAGGAAGCTGGTGGAGACTCAGCAGAGGCAGCTGCGAACGTCACTGCAGAGACACGACCTCCATCCCGCCTGTGGATCCAGGAGGCTGGTCGGTCGGTCAGTGCTATGTGTCCTCACTCCCCACGCTCCCCGAGTGGTGCCCAGCATGGCCGGCCACCTCCAGCCACTCCGCGGTGGCCTCCCCACCTCCACCACCAGGCGCCACCCCAGAGGGCATGTTACGCAGAGCCTAAGCGACTGAGCCTCCTTGGTTGCAAGTAATCACACAGAAATTGCCACGTTCTGCCTGGAGATGTCTAAAATCTAAGTGCAAAATCCTGCGGAGGGCATCCTGCCAGTAACATAGCAGGAAACATCTAGAAGGACCGAAGGTGTGGGAAAGCATCTGAAGCATCTGGCTGCCTGTGAGCCCCGCACAGCGGCCCTCCTTTCTGCAGGGTGGCTGAGAAAGCCCTGCAAAGGCCGGTGGAGGACCAGGCCTCACTGACGCGGAGAGCGCCCTCCCTGGGTCTCTCCTCAGCAGCTGTGCCCCTGAGCAGGCAATGGAGCGAGTCAGCAGGGCGGCAGGTGGGGTGCGGCTCCGTGTCTGTGCTTGGCGCTGCCTCAGACAGGCCTGGGTCCCAGCCAGGATCACGTTGGAAGGTCCTGGGGGAAACCGCCCCAGTACAACCTAAGACACCTGCACACTTCTGTGTAGCTCTGTCCTCCCTTCAGAAGTCCTGAGAAGTAGGTGGGACCATCAGAGTGAGCCCACTGTTTTATTATTCCATTGTTCCAAAGCCAGGGTCCTCCAGGTCTGTGTCCCACACCAGGCTGCAAGTTGGTAGCAGAGAAGCAAGATTACAACCAGCAGCTCTTTTGCCTCTCTCCCTTTGTTTAGCAATCACGCCAATTTGCTTTCTGTTTCTGTTTAAGAAACAGAAACAAAAACAAGCAGAAACTTTCCTTGCAGAGTTGGAAAAAGAGACATGGAGTTAAGCTTGGATGTCATCATGGACACATAACTTCTGCCCCAAGGAAGGTAATAACTGGGGTTTGAGCGGCCACCGGACTGTGGGTACAGAAGCCCAGCCACAGGTAACAGAGATCCTTCTGTCCTCCCTGCACTGCCAAGTGACCTGACATCCCTGGGCCACCTGGACAAGTGAATAATCCCACTGCAAGGAAAGGGTCAGCACAGGAAGGGCAGAATCTCGGGATTGTGTTTGACAAAGAAAGAGGAAGAAAGGAATGAGGGTGGGGAAACCTTTCGGACTGGGCTCTTCATTTGGTGTCCTCTAAATTTCATCTCAATGCTATTTAAAAAAACGATAATTATTATTATTATTACAGACTTTCCCAGAGCAGGGACACGTCTTAATTTTGGTTGGACTCAGAGCTGATGTGTTTTAAAACACACTGCTGAAAATCAAGATTTCTAGAGTTCTAGCTGGCACTGTCCTGGCACTAGCCCTGACCTAGAAGATAATAGCCACCATCTCCATTTTGGGGTCCATAATTTAAATTTCTCAAAAAGAGAGGGAGAAAAATGCAAAGATTTGTTTTTAGTTAAGCATCAGTAAGAGTAGCCTCTTTGCCTTAGGAGAAAAATGCACATTATTTGATTTAGGTCTATATCCTGAGAGATCATGTAGACCAGAAAGATACCACATGTGAAAGGTTAAATTTCAGTGTGAATTCTTGAGAAAAACATCGATAGGTGAATAGTTAGAATATAATCTTGTTTTGGCCAGGCATGGTGGCTCATACCTGTAATCCTAGCACTCTGGGATGCTGAGGGGGGTGGATCCCCCGAGCTCAGGAGTTGGGGACCAGCCAGAGCAAGAGTGCGACCCTGTCTCTACTAAAAACAGAAAAATTAGCCAGGCATTGTGGTGGGTGCCTGTAGTCCCAGCTACTTGGGAGGCTGAGGCAAGAGGATCACTTGAGCACAGGAGCTTGAGGCTGCTGTATGATGATGCCACTGCTCTCTATTACAATTTAAATTCCTTAAACAAGATTGCTTAACAGTTTTACCCTAGTTAGGAATGAACCAAGAATAAAAGCTGAGACTCCAAAGGCGTGATTGTAGCTTTTGTCTCCCCTTCCTGCTAGCTCACCTTGTAGCCCTAGAGGAAGACGGTCCCTACACCTGGCAGAAAGGTTCCTCACACTGGCAGGACGGGCCCAGCGCTCTGAGCTTGAGCAAGGCTGTTCTTAGGGGGTTGCCCCATCACATCGCCTGTGGAACTGCTGCAGGTTGGGGACTTTGATCCCTCACTTGCATAAATCCACACTTGGCCACCAGTTCCTGCTCCTGCCATCTCCCCTGGGATCTCACAATCTTCTTTTCTCTGTGTCCTAAGACTAAATTAATTTTTCTCTGGACACTATCTTCAGCTTTAGGAAAGTTTTGCTAATCCCTTCTGAGCTTCATCTTGAGAGATTTATAAATTAAGATTCTCATTTTATGTTTGCAAATTCCATTTATTAAAATAACAGCATATTTATCATTTTTACACACAATAATGTGTGTTCATTGTCGTTCTTGAACTGCAGAGTGATTATCATGAAGAGTTTAGGGAGTGGTCGAGGTTTTGGTGGGTGAGGGCTTTCTATGTGTACAACTCTAGTAATTAAGAAATGATATCTTATACCTAACTATATAGGTGAGATTAAATTCTCCTTTTTCTTCAAGCACTATTGTTCTCCCAGTTATAGACCCAGTTTACCCTTTTCCCATTGGTCTTTTCTATACTTAGGTGTAATCTCCATTAGGCAGGAATATCTATCCATTAGTGGATTCCTACCAATAAGCAACAAGGACCATCCTATGTACATGTAGACATGTAGCAACTCCCACCTCAGGAGGAAGATAGCTGGCCAATGTCCACTGTCACTAACTGCAGCTGAGCATTATTCTAAGAGCTGTAATTGGAGTCAGTTCATTCAGTCCTTGTGAGGTACTATTATTAACCCCATTTCACAGATTAGGAAACTGAGTAATCACAAAGCCTGACAGTGGCTAGGAATGAGAAACAAGCACAGACATGTATCTTTGTTTCTTTAATTACTTCTTCAACAACTAACCAATGTTCTCCACAGATATAATCTTTCAAAATCAAATAATAGCAAAACAATAAGAGCTGAATCCTGAAAACACAAAGTTCATGGTTTTCAGTATAATTTCCAGTTCATTTGTTAGCTTACTGCCCTTAGAAATACTTCAATTGATTGTATTCAAGAATAAATCTGACTTTGACTGGTAACAGCAATGCTGAGCAAAGACACAAAAAAAATTAAAAAAGAAGAAGAAAGAAAGAAAAAGAAAATAAAGAAAAAAACAAAACTAAATCCAACTTGGTACTGTTGAAGTATTTTTACCTTTATAATTAAGCAAATCTCTATACTGTTAACATGAGTCCTTCTTATAAGTCTCTCTGCTTCAGAGAAAATTATGTATAATATGCAAAGATAGTATATAGGAAAAAACTAAACTAAGACATTGTTTTAGATGAATGCTATTGGCTAGCAAGACTTTCCAAATACCATGTTAGCCCCTTTGCAAATGGATTTTGCAAAAATGAAAAATAAATTTCTTTGAATTTCTTTATGAGAATGTTGTGAAAACATAATCTCTGGTCATGAACAATTAGAACTTGAAAGTGAATCCCGTTTCTAAGTATAAAGAATAAAATAAAAATCACCCATAACCCAATATTTAGAAATCACTACTCAACATGTTAGCACATGTCCTTCTGGTCTTCTCGCCCACTTTTTAAAAACATACTAAATAGGCCTAAATTACATTTGAAAACTCTAAGTTTATTTAGACCATGTATTCAAAAAGTTTGTCCTCTCATTTTCAGAAAAGAGTTCCTGTTGTCTTCCCGGCCTCCTGCAATGTATCATCCCCTTCTGAGGCAGCTCAAGTCATTGATGGAAAAAACAAAACAAAACAAAAAAAAAAAAACGATGCTTCAGCCACTATGCCATTTCCCCTCCTATTTGGAAGGTAAATTCTTTATAAAAATTAAATATTAACAAGCCTTCAGGGTTAGCACCCCTCATTTACGAAGGTGACTTAGCTGCCCTCAGGTGTTAATTCTTAAAAAGTTTCTTGCGATGAAAGAGTCAAGAGTCAGACTTCTCTGAGTCCCTGCTCTATGACTCTGTCAATGGCCTTCCGGGGTTAGTATGTGTTTAATGATCAATAGTGGGTTCCATTCCTACCACTGAGTTTTTCATAAAATAGCATAACCAAGTCAATGTTTAACTGAATTCTTTGGGTCTGAAATGCCAAAGTAGGAGCTGAAGGGAGGTCTCCATGGAAACCAGCCTCCTAGGAGGTGGCCAGAGAGGCCAGTATGTAATGAAATAGAGCTAGAAAGACTTCCTGAAGGAAATGTCTGCTCTGCAGAGCTGGGGCCAACTTCTGAAATACCTTGGTTAGAACAAGCTTCGTAAAAGGCCCACACACTGCTTCCTCGTGGTCTTCCTCTGTATGTCCTCATATGAAATGGGCCTGAGCTACTCCAAGGCTCGCCCTAGAGTGACCAAAGTTGCACCTTTGCAAAACAAGGAAGAAGAGACTCCCTTGGTTGGCCCCATGGACTTCACAGTCAATCAGACTCTGCAAGGAAAGAGTTCACCTTTGTTGGCAAGGCCACAGGACCAGAGCAAAACTCTGGAAGGGCAGCTACCACCTCTGCGGGAAACCCGGTATGGAAGATACTTTGCAGGTAAACATAAGACCAGTGGAGGAGGGCATCTGGGAGGAGGAGGGCGTCTGGGAGGAGGAGGACATCTGGATGAGGAGGGCATCTGAGCAGAGGAGGGCGTCTGGGAGGAGGAGGGCGTCTGGAAGGAGGAGGGCGTCTGGGAGGAGGAGGACGTCTGGGTGGAGAAGGGCTATTGATTTGCCCTACTGTCTCCATAGTCTCAAAGTTTCAAAATTACTGAAACGTGAAGGAATATCTTTCAATGGGGATTGTTTGTTAATTGAAAATACTCTGTGCACATTAGAATAAATGCGTAAACTATTTTGTAAAGGGTTTTGTACCATTACATGTGACAAGGAAAAATTATTTTGTTTCGGCATAGTTTATATAGTGCTTTCAATGTTTATTTTGCCAGACCATTAAAATTATACGGATACTGATGCGATAAATGATAACATCATATATTTCAGTTAGATTTTAAATTTAAATCATTCTCTCTGGTACAGTTTAATGCATCAGGCTTTGTGGTTTTGAGAGCAGCACTTTAGCAGAGAATTCATTCTAACATGGATTTTGAAATCATCCTAAACAGAATTGCTTTGTTGCAGTACAGCTGATTGGATGAATCCCTTTCCCCAACTCTGCATTCTTCAGGGTCATCTGCTGGACTAAGAGAGTTCTTTCCCATTGTGATTGGAAGCTCTGAACCTAAAGTGGCTATAAATTATCCTGGAATATTTATTTTATAAGACATGTAAAATGTGTTCTGATCACCGCAATGATAATTAAACAGACATTCTAACTTGGAAAGAGAAATATCTGTTGTAAGGTCTTGCATGTGTTTACGTGTGTCATTTTCTCCTTTCTTCATATTCTGAATCAATGACACAAGTAAGTTTCCTTTAGAGGACAAGTTGGGCAGAAAGCCTCATATTCCCTCTTGGTGCCTAGTAAATCCTCCCCGGGCTGATTTTCACGGCTACCATCTGGTGGGATTGACCGACTTTGATTGTTTCTATACGGCTACTCTTATATCCTTTGTGTTCTCCAAGTTCTTAAGCACGTGAGTAGGAATTTTCCTCTTAGTTTCATTGAGGAATCCATTTTTTATCCAAACTCCCTGTCCAGACTTTTAAGATTTTTGTCAATGAATTATGAAAGTTGATTCTAGTGTTCTGGAGTCCCAACTGGAAAATGTGCTTATGTTTGAAAAGGCAGAATCACGTTAAAATTAAATAACCAGGCACGATGAGCATTCCGATCACAGCTCCATAAGACCAAATTATTTGGTTTGGGGAAGTAACTTCACCCATTTTCTCCACCCATCATCAGGGGTAAAAATAAATGCCTAATAACAGCCTATGCCATTTTGAGAGAAACTAATTAAATAATGAGCAGTATCACTCAAATCATATAAAAATAAGGACTGGTCAGACTTCTGAGGAAACATTTACTGACACACTATTCACATTTTAAAGTCCAATGTTTGTTGCTGTTGCTGCTTCTGCCCTGCTCAATATGCACCTTTTGAAGAGGAATAGGGATGCAATTTCCATCCCAATTTGGAGACAGCAAAGTCCTTCAAGTGGCTGTTTAAATGTCTTAAGGACACATAATTACCCAGGGATTTTTCCATTTAAAATGCAAAGTGGGGCTCGGCGCCTGTGGCTCAAGCGGCTAAGGCGCCAGCCACATACACCTAAGGTGGTGGGTTCGAATCTCCAGCCCGGGCCCACCAAACAACAATGATGGCTGCAACCAAAAAATGGCCAGGCGTTGTGGCGGGCGCCTGTAGTCCCAGCTACTTGGGAGGCTGAGGCAGGAGACTCGCTTGAGCCCAGGAGTTGGAGGTTGCTGTGAGCGTGATGCCATGGCACTCTACCCAGGAGGATAGCTTGAGGCTCTGTCTCAAAAAAAAAAAAAAAAAGCAAAGTGGGACTGTAGCTAGTCTAAGCAACAATCTGGAAATCAGAATGTGTCCAGATTAAGTGCAAAGGACAAGAACTTCATTCATAATTCTTTCATGGTGGCAATTCCAAGAGCCCAGGATAATTAAGCTAAAAAGCATAATGAATCCAGAGAGCCTCTCTGTTTCCTAACAGAAGCTTAACTCTCTATCCCTGGCTCGTTTCTTCAGAAAAGAACACAGGTGTGTTGGGTGACAGCAGTCCCTTGTGGAAATGCTTTCTCCGGTTGGGGAGACTGACGGTGAGCACAGGTCCTGCACTGCTGTCCCGCCCCTCTCCATTTCTTTGTCACCTCCTTTTGTCTGATTACCTCGCCATCTACCTGGGATCTATTTCATCTGAGATAGCAATCTATTTTCATTTTTTAAAAGTTATTTTTTTCAGGGTGGCACCTGTGGCTTAAAGAGTAGGGAGCCGGCCCCATATACCGGAGGTGGTGGGTTCAAAGCTGGCCCCAACCAAAAATTGCAAAAAAAAGTTATATTTTTCTGATTTCCTATATTTGGGGGGAGGAGATTTCATGGAATTAAAACAAATAAATAGATTTCTATTTTTAGGCAAAATGCTGTTTGAATAACATTTGCTATTTTTCAACACAATGTTTATTTTGCAGCTCTTCTTCTGGATATGAGCCTGAGGAGGAGGCTAAAATAATACTATCTGCATTAACACAGGGCCCTGCTTCCTGTGTTGCCTCCCTACGTTCAACCCACTGGTTAGACGTAAAGAGATGACTAAAAAAGTACAAAATTGTGTTAACAACATCTAATAAGTAATGATCGACTAACTTAGTGGTAAATTGCATTTAGTAGTTTATCTCTATTTCTCCCCCAATCCTTGAAGCATCCAGAACCATGTATTTTGACATCCCTCTGGAACAAGGAGAAACAAGTATTATTAAGAGGCATCCACCTCAAAGACTTCAAGTAAGAGGAATTTAAAAGGCTTCATAAGGAATTTCTTGGATGTAACGGTAACACCCCTTTTTTAAACTAGAATCATAAAAGAGGAATATTGGTAATGACCAAGCTGTTAGTGAGAATTGTTGAAGAGAATGTTGTCAATTGCAAAGGTGATACTACATTAGGATTTCTTTTAATAATAATTTAACTTTAAGACCCACAACCAAAAGAAGCAAGTATAGTACCCATGACATAGGCAAGAGGGAACTCAGATGACAAAAATATAGCACTGACTGGTCAGGTGACCATGGGAAAACCACTTGCAATAAACAAGAATAACAATAACTACTACTAGTATTTACCACCTACTACAAGTCAGACACTATCCTAGGCAATTGGATCTATGTCATTCATCTAATCCCTTTGGCCCTCTGTGAGAAAGACAGTATTATCTCTGTCTTATTATACATGTGGTTCAAAGAGTAAAGTCACTTGCCCAGAGACACACAGAGCCCAGATATCAGCCAGATCTGCAAAGTCTGTACCTTAACCATCAACAGACATGCACTCTGCTAGTCCTTTCATCCTTAACCTTTTTTGTTCTGTGTTAACCAGTCATTGTAACTGTGGACACTGGATTTCCAGGCAGCAAGGCAAAAGTGTTAAATGCATTTAATGAATTTCCTTTAGGATGCTATAAATTCTAAGAACTTTCACCCTAGAAAGGGAAAGAGATGGGAGTGGGCCGTTGAAAATGAGCATTAGTTAAAGGAGGGTTTAGGCCCTCCTGAGAGCAGTATCTATCTCTGACATTTGAAAAAGGGAATTGAAGCCAAATCCCACCTGCTACACTATTTACCTAGATGCCTGGACCAATCCCAGGGATATTGGAGCTCATTTGTTGGGGATTATTTCTGTTTCAGTAGGTTTTATTTACCTGTCTTATGTAGAAGCTCATAATCATTATTTGAAGTGATTATATCCTTTGGTCCCCAAAGAGCATATTTTCCCAAAATATGAGAAACATCAAAAATATTGCTTAAAGGGAAACTAAGGGTAAATATAAGACAGATATATTTTTAAATTTTTTTAAGTATATCTCTAGCTAAATGGACAATTTAAAATTTTAAAACTTGTTCTGTTCCTAAATCAAATGCTTCATTTCCAAGAAGTGTTTAATGCTTGTGTGTTTAAAACCTCTAAGCTGATTAACTCAAATATAAGGTATTACTATAACCAGGGAAAAATATTTGTAGAGTACTCTATAGTTCACAAAGTAATTTTTATTCCATCAACCCTAGATGAATAAGCTTAGGTTTTGATTCTCCTAGTCAATCAAGCTCAAAAAACAAACTCTTGTATTTCAGAGTAAAAAAACGCACCCCACCCCACCCACCACCTTAAGAATGTAGAATCACCAGCGTACTCAATTCCAATATGAAGGCGGTAGATGAGCTGATACCAGGGGTGGGTAGGGGAATGAGGGAGCAAGGAGAGAGGAGAAAGGCTATCTAAAAAAACTCAGATAGGGAGGGAGGGGGTGAGGGGTCACTGTGTATGGCACACCTCTCAGGGAAAAGACACAAGTACAAGAGGGACTTTATCTAACAAATGCAATCAGTCTAACCTAATTCTTTGTACCCTCAATGAATCCCAAACAATATAAGAGAGAAATGTAGAATCAAGACAAGTGAATTATCTGAGTGCAAAGACTAGGTTTTATTTAGTCTTATATCTTCCACCACTAACACTTAATATGTACCCCGGAAAAGTTTATGAGTGAAATGAATGCGTGAATGCAAATGAGATCCTTCAACCTCTTGGAGGAAGAAAAACGCTCACAAGGTATTGTCTTTCTTTTGTGGGCCTGTGACATCACTGTATTAGAAGTCTAACTGAGCAGCCAAAATAACCAATACAATTAATAATGAAGTATATAAGAATGTTTTATTGAACTCCAAAGCAGGAAGACTACTGGACTTCCAGGAAGAATTGTGCCTTGGAATCCAGAAGGCAGAACACTCTTAAGTGTCTGCCCCACCCTCTCAGCTCTCTGTGCTCCTCAGGTACAACTGATGGCATCTGGCCACCCTGAGCTTGCATCTTACAGTTTCAGTCAAATGGACAAATTAGTCTTACCCTCTTGGCTCCAGTTCCGAATTCCTGGGAGGAAAGATCTCATTGGCTCAGCTTTGCTCATGATTTCAGCTCTGCTCCAATGAGCTATGGTCAGAGGATATGTTCATGCAGTAAATATGTGGGCAGTGTCGCCCTGTTGATTCTGCAGTTGGCTCCCAGAGAAGAGGGAAATCACTAGGAACTTGGCAGATATTCCCAAAGAGATCAACTATAATTATCTTTGCAAATGGGGCTCAGTACATTTTTCACTCCAAATGGGTCTTTGAGAGAATAATGCATGCTGGGTCCTCATGACATGTTAATTAATAGCCTAAGAAAATTCTAAAAGTATTTTTAATTATTAAACCAAACCTAATTGTACCCTAACGACTTGAGCTGCATATTTGGCACTCTCCACTTCCTGAGCACCCACTTCTCCAGTCATGGACTGGTGTTCTACAGCCTGGTGCTGAGAGGATCTGAGTCTCTGCCAGGGAACTGGATCTAGTGTGCCCAGGCCTGTGCTAGAGAGTTGATCAGCTCTGTCCCCTTGGCTTGGTCACTTTCTCATCCCACCATCTCAGCCTAGCCCCTTGGATAACCTCCTTATCTTGGAAGATATCTTCAAATCCCACTGTCCCCTAAGGCCTACTCCAAGCAACCTACTGAGGATGGTGACTCTCACGCGGCACTCAGGATGCCCTGGGCCCACCAACATCTTTCCTTTTCCCCAGAAGGCTGACTTCCACCTAGCATACCAAACACTTATCCATTATGTCCACTGTGCACTTTCTTCACCATCCCACAGCCCCAATCCCAGAGGGGGGATTTTTTTTTTGTCTTCACCTATGTATCTGAGTGTCTAAAACAATGCTTGGCATATGGCAGGTCATAAATAAGTGTGTGTCAAATATTGAATGAATGAACAAATTGGAGAAGAAAGAAATACAACTATAAATCTACTGGTAGATACAGAGGGTGGTTCTGACTTGAAAGAGCTTCATTATGTTGTTTTAGATATTAGACAAGAGACATTGCGAGGAGTCAGTTTAAATAATGGTGGAGGCTGGCCAGGCATGTCCAAAACCCACAGGCCAGGACTCATAAAGGGCAGGCTGCGGGGTTGGGCTGAAGCTGCCATCCACAGGCAGAATTTCTTCTTTTTTAAGGCAGCTTCAGCTTTGCTCTTAAGACATTTCAACTGATTGAATCAGACCCACCTAAATTATGTAAAACAAGCTTCCTTACTTAAATTCAACCAAATCATTCCACAGCAATACCCAGATGGGTATTTGAATAACTCAACATTGGCTGGGCACCCATGTTCAGTGGTTAGGGTGCTGGCCACATACTCCAATGCTGGTAGGTTCGAACCCAGCCCAGACCTGCTAAACAACAACAAAAATAGCCAGGTATTGTGGCAGGTGCTTATAGTCCCAGCTAGTAGGAAGGCTGAGGCAAGAGAATTGCTTGAGCCCTAGAGTTGGAGGTTGCTGTGAGCTATGACACCATGGAACTCTACTGAGGGTGACAAAGTAAGACTCAGTCTCAATAAAAAAATAAAAATAAATAAAAAACAACTCAAGACTGTAGCCTAGCCGAAATGGCACATAAAACTGACCACCAAAACACCTGACCACCATAATACCTTACAGTGTTTTTTTCTCCCTATTGTGAATGAGGTATTTTTTCCCATTTAATTTTCCAAATGATTATTACAGATGAATAAGAAAACTATTAACCTTTGTTTGCTGAATTTTTTGTTCTACACTTTTTTTGAAATACCTTGGTAATTCTAATTATCTGCAGACTCCTCTAGATGCCCTATGTAGATAATAGCTTCCATAAGTGAGAATAACTTTTTTTCTCTTTCTCCCCAATTCTTGTTCCTTGCACTTGTTTCCTTGGCTTTTGTATCGGCTAGAACTTCCCTTACAATGTTGAAGACAAACAATGGTAATGAGCATCCTTGACTTACTCACAACGGTAGAGGGACTGGTGCTCAAACTCAGTACAGTGTTGGCAATAGGATTTGGGTATATGTTGGTACCAGTCAGAGTCTCAAAAGGAAACGGATGGCACACTCAAAATATATAATCCTTTAAGGAAGTTTTCTTTAGAGTTAACTATTTACAGAAGTTTGAATTAGGGAAACCTCAACAGATACTGCAATAACTGGTACTGTGTTTCCCCGAAAGTAAGACCTACCCAAAAAATAAGTCCTAGCAGGATTTCTATGTATTTGTTAAATATAAGCCCTATCCCATAATAAGACCTAGTGATGGTCTAATGCATTTCGGGGAGGAGCAGTAAGGAAGACTGGAATACCTTATATCTGCCACAGCTCCTTTCTCCGGGCCATTCGCACTTGTGCGTGTGCACATGTGGTAACTGTGGTCGCAGGCATCCTATTGCACATGTGTGAACGGCTAGGGGAAAGGAGTTCACGCATCACCAGCGCCAGCCCCACCAACAAGGTCAGCTCCCCTGTCAGGTTCCAGAAGAAGATGACTTAACTGTATTTGAATAAATGTAGATTGTTGTATTATACTTAATAAAAATAAGACATCCCCTGAAAATAAGCGCTAGTGTATCTTCTTGAGAAAAATAAACATAAGACAGTGTCTTATTTTAGGGAAAACATAGTAGTAAACACCTCTCATCCAAGGAACTAGGAAAGGGAGAAATTTCTGGAACTCAGCAGAGAGCGTGGTAGAGGAACCTGCTTTGAGAGGAGCAGTGACCTTCAGATGGACACAGCTATCCAGATATGACTTTGGCATATAGCCAGACAAACAAATACCCTGACCTCATTATCTTTCTTCCTGCCAGGGCTTCATGGTAGAAAAGCGTAGTCTTCACAGGCAGTGAGCAGGCTAGGAAAATGTGGTGAGTAGATCTGGAGA